ACGTGTGAGTTTTCTATATTTTCTTTTTCTTCTATATGTAAGGTGTTAAATAATTAATGGGATTTCTTAAATAAATTAAATATTATATGAGGAGGTAGAAGAGTATTTTAATTATAGGTTAAACCGATTAATTGATTCTTTCATTATATGATGCAAAGATTTTGTAACCAAAGTTAGAAAGGATTTAATCGGAGAAATTAAAGTGAGGTTAAAGGTTATATTAGTTTATTTTATTAAAAGTTAGAGGTTATAAGGGGTTATATTTTTACGCTTCCCACTTTCTCACTTTTGAAAATTGAACACAAAAAGAAGGATGAAGGAGCAATAAGAGTAAATTTTCATCCAACAACAAGTGCTCACGATGGTAAGGGGGGTGAGGGCTTTCTTTTGTGGAAATCAATTATCTATGGATTGAGTTTTTTATTTTCTTTTATATGTGAAATTATGGTTATGTACTCTTCTTATGAGCATAAGATATTGAGTTTGAGTCGTATGCATGGTTGAATTCACGTTGGATGTTACGGTCATGAACCTATGAGTGTCTATGGATACTGTGGAAATCTTTATTTTATAAAGCACATGAGATTGTGTGTAATTAGTGGATTGTGTGAAATTGTAGTGTGGTTTGAATTGAAATGGTATGATGATTGATGAGGAACATTAAATTAATGAACTTACCAATTAATTTGAAACTTGGGAATTTGGCATGATAGGGTGAAACTCCCACTTTACACAATTTGTCACTAACTGCGGTGACACCAGGCATTGGGCATGAGAGCAACAAAGAGCATAGGTTATTTTCTATGGTGATAATGTCAGGTGTAAGGGTAGCCACTTCAAGCATGCAAACTTTAGGGGTGCTTTTGTGGTAATTTTTCCAAGCATGAATCTCCTTGAGAGCTTAACGTGCTCTCTATGAGGTCAATGTCAAGTGGGATGTGGGTATTATTGGGTGTAATAACTAAATTGATGATCTCAGTGTGTGCAATTGTGCGAATTTGAGAATTGTTATACATTTTGTAAGAGAAATAAGAATTTGTATCGTGATTGTAAGATTATGTCTGTATGAATAAAAGAGGTGAGTTTGATTTCTATGCGTATGTAAATAAAAGAGAATATGCAAATAAACGAGTATGAGATGTTTATGAAGAGTATAATGGATATATACTTTTGTGTAAGTGATGGTTATAATGTGTAAGTGTTAAGTGTAAGAAGGATGAGGTATGTGTTGTATGAGTGAATATATAAATTGAGCCATGATATTAAGTCTTTGAGTCACAAGATTAAGCCTTCAAACCACTAGATAAAGTCTTCGGGCCACGAGGATCTGTCATGGAATTATAAGTATAACTATGAAGGTTTTAACCTATTTTATCATTGTTATAAGTAACATTAGAAAAACATGCATTAATGATTTGGGGATGTAGAGTCTAAGTGTGCTAATATGAATGTGGTGGATTATGGGTTGTATAAATATCTTGCTATTTAATTTAAATTAGTAACTATTATTTTACTATGTTTAAGTATATGTAGATTATATTAGAATGAGACATTTCTCACTTCCCTCTGTTTTCCCGTTGTTCCATATTGAGTGTATTGTAGGTACTAGGTAATGACTATCATGTTGACAATGCAAACAATGAAGCATGAGCCTTGTGGAGTGTTATATATGCTCTTATAAGATGTGATACATATGAGCATAGTATAGGATTTCTTATTATTTCAAGTTATGTTTAATGTTAGACATTGTATTATTTATGTTATGAAAAACCTTAAGTATTCTTCCAAAATAACATGTTGTGAAGCTTATGAATGTTGTTAAAATCGAAAGATTGTTGCAATTGTTTATATATAAATGTCTTGATTATTGCCTTGGGGTAATGAGGTGCTACACATGCACTCTAATTAGTTAAGAGAAAGTGAACATTAATTAAGAGATATAAATAGTGTATAACATATACTCTAATTGGTAAGAAGATATATGAGTATTAATTAAAAAAAAAGTATAAAGATAATTTTAATATATATATATATATATATATTGAAGAAATTAATTTATTATTATATATTAATTGAGTCGGTAGTACTTACTTTATCTCTTTCATTTAATTTTTATCGATCGTAAAAATTATAAAATGTTATTTTAATATATTTTTTTTCTTATAAACCTTTCGAATTTAATTTTAGTCGACATAAAAATCGAATTTTAATTATAGTTTTTGGTGATTTAATTAATCCCGATGGACAGGTGTTATTTTGCATCAGATTACAGATTATTCCTCATTAAAATCTGTCTCCAACAACTCCTTTTGCTAACGTTATTTCTTGTTGTTCGTCATTGTATGTTTATGCCGCATCAAGGCAAATTCTTAGAGGACGAGAAACGAAAAAGAAGAATTTTCCTTAAATAAACTTTCTTTCCCATTATGTATTATATATGGATATAGTTAAATAATAAATTTCTTCGTAAATATTTAAAAAAAAAATAAGTTTTTCTATAAATTAAGAGTTTATACATTAGTTAAAAACAATTTTTTAAGAAAAAAAATTTATATATTATTTTTGTATATAAAAAAGGTTATTTATTATTTTTAAAAATATTTATAGAGAAATTTATGGGATGATTCTCTAAAATAAAAAAAATATATATATATTTCTTTTTTTATCTCGAGTATATCCAATTATGGAGCACTTTCGCTTTGGTTGTCAATTGTCACAGTTTGGAGTGGATTTTAGATAGAGACATACAGAAAGTATGGATAATGATATTGTCATTGGCACTTTGATTAGCACTTTGAAAAAGAGTGCGACAATAGTTCAAAGGAAAATACACCTCATTCTTCTTTCGGTATATTCTCGGAACCTTTCTTATCTGCATTACTAAATATTATAAACTAATCCACACAACGTTGCCCAATTTATGAAACAATAATAACAAACCATGTTTCTATTTAACTTTATTTGGAAAAACAATTGGGAATATGTGATATTTAAACTTCTTAATGCAATTTACAAATAAATTTGTATTTTAACTTTTCCAATCACCGGATAAATTTTAATTTTATATACCAAAATTTACGATAAATATTTTTAAATGTATAAATTGTATTATAATTAAAATTTCTAACAAACAGTATTTTTATTATATAAATTAAATTTATATTTATGAGAAATAATTTAATTATATTGTGACACAAATTTGTTTTTAATTATTAATATTTCTTTAAAAATGCTAACATCGAATTTTTTAAAATTTTGAAAATATACAAGAGATTAAAAGTAATATTTAAAAACACTCATTTAACAGACAATTAAAAATACTTTCACCGAAAATTTGTTTCTAAAATATATTTGTTGAAAATAATTATTCTAATTTATATAAATACATATAAAGAATATTATACTTATAATATCCAGTTTACAGTGGTTTCATTGTTATTATTACTTACTAGTAAGAAAAGAAATACTTCGTATCTATATATATTTGTTTTCAAAGAATTTTAAAAAAAGATAATTATTAAATATAAAAATAATAATATCTAATATACAAAAATAGAAAGAAAAAGGTGGTTATCATAACCTATCCTTTTACAATAGATATCGATTAATCAAATTTTATACTTAAATATCCAGCTCCTAGTTTCATTGTTAATATGGAGAACCTACTAGTCAAACTTAGTTGCAAAAAAAATGCCTTGTTACATGTCCTACTCTTGCATAACATTTAAAACCAAGTACAATATTCTAATAAAAATAGTAATAAATAATAAAACTTGCACGCTCTATTGATTCGTAATTTTCATTTTTTAAATCTCTACTATTTCTTATATATTATTTATATTTTAAAAAATATATATGATCTTGTGTTATATTAGGTATAAAAATTTGTTTTTATCTTGTTATAAAATAAAAAAAATATTATAAAAATAATCACTCAATCCATGGAGAAAGTTATCATCCTAAATAAGAAAGATGTCATATTGTAGATGTAGGCATGAGAAATTGAGTCATATTAAATAAATTTAATGCAATTAATATTTATTAAGATGTTACCGTTGATGTAAGTAGGAGAAATAAATCATATTAAATAAACTTGTGTATTTTTTGCTTATTTCTTTATAAAATTTTCTTTTTCGGTGTTCTTTCATTATTATGTGTAAAGAGAATTTTTAGAAATGATTTTAGTATGGAGTGGATGGGGATGAAAAAACAAAGAATAATGGTAGGATGAATTGAACGTTGCTGCGCCTGCACGGACATTACTAAAGATTGACCTTCTTATTAAACACTTTGTAATGTAAACTGTAACGTCTCTATCAGTATTCTCTAAGCCCAACGTCCCAACATCATAATGCTCTCAACTTTGTAATGTAAGCCCAAAAGATAAAAACAACGACGTAATGTCTCTATCCATGTCCATGTCCCAAAAAAATGTCTCACTTCTTATTAAACATTATCTAACGTTAGTCCCAAAAAAATCAATCTTGAATGAAGGGGTTTTAAAGGGTTATAGATAGTTTTGGGATTCTTTTTAACAAGAGCATTTTTTTTAAAAAAAATCTTAACCTCTTATAGTTTCAAACCTATCATTTTTATTATCATTTTAAATTGAATTTTAATATTTTAAAATAAATTATCAAAATAAGAAACAAATTATTCATCAGAAATTTAGCATGGTTGAACAGATGCTCAAGTATTATAAACTCCTTTACCGAGTTCAATTATCAAGAATAAAATATTTAAAATAAGCATTTATCTTTATACACATTATACGTAATAAAATACTATTAAACTATAATGTCTCTATCTGACTTCAAGTGCGAGGCCGCAATATGACCATGGTCTAAAAAAAAACGTAATCCTAATAAGAAATATTAACCCACACCACTCTGAAATCAAATAGGCTTTACATGTTTGAGCAAGGTAAAATGTGTTTGGAGAATATGCGTGAAAAAAATAGGTTGAGTGGGAAGTGCCAAACATACGAGTGGACAGCTTAATTTCCTTGCAATGTCGATGATAGATAATTTAGATACACACCAGGCCAATTAGGTGATTGATCCACAAGTGAATATAATGATATAATTGTATAGGGTGAGAGAGAGACAACCTCATTAAATGTTATATTTTATGGTCTGAATCTTTAACCCAGTTGGCATTAACATGCATACACGAAGTTACGACATAGTGTATCCATCAACATTGAATCATACATTTAGATACAAACTGCAAATCAACAAGTTCTGTTGAGTCCAAAAGTCTAAACAACTCGGATTTCTGACATATGGACTTTCACTTCATGTATTTTTGCAGGAATTTCCTGTGAAAATCATTCCTGATGGTGTCATTGATGAATCGCTTAGCTGTTTTAGTCTCACCACGGGCTTGGTTCTTAAACACCACATCATCATCCCACCTAAACAGAACAAGTGCATGCAAAAACCCAAAATATGAGATAAAGACAGCAAAACAACACGATTAACAATAAACGGCAAAAAAACTGTCATTTTGGCTTCGATGATGTTGGATAAATAATCTAGATTCATACCTTCTTTTCACATTGAAAGATGTTGGATTATTTAGCAAAGGGTTTCCTCGCAGAAGCTCTGCCTCCTTTACTTTTAGTTCTTCCTCTTGTTGTTGCCGTTCCTGCACAGAGATATTTTTATATTTTAACTTTTTTGTACACGAGAGCAATTTATATATATTTACAATTTACAACTGACATCATCAGAAGTTCAGAACCACTTGGAGCATGTTTGGATGAAAGCCTATAAGGGACTTTTAAGAGTTTCTCTACTGAAAAATACTATTTCTTTTTTTTTTTTTCAATAGAGAAATTCTCAAAAGTGCTCCTAGTCTATATCCAAATAGGCTCTTAGCAGCTGAGATATATGTTACTAAAAACGGATGGACATGTTATGGGCTCAACCATCTGTTTTTCATCAATACTAAATGGATTACAAGAGGGAGTGGAAAAGTATACTATATCCACCCTCCCCCATGCGACTTTCCTTCCATACAAAGTGAAGTAGTAATAATACTGGAGAGATATATAGTGCAGCATAGCGCAGTTCAAGATAACCCCACCAGGAAAGCTTCAATGGCATTAAATGAACAAAGCAAGGACGAGTAAAAGAAGAGATAAGACCTTGCGTAGCTTTTCCTCTGCTCTTTCCTTCTTTATTTGTTCAAGCTCAGCCAGCAATGCTTCAGTGTCATCCTCGTCGTCGTCGTCATCATCATCATCACTGAGAAAGTTAAAGAAACATTACTACATACTATCATTATCAAGTTAAGACACTTGTTTGATCTAAATTTTCATGTAAGAAATTTGATTTCAAATACAAACAAAATTACAAAAGGATAAGAGACAGTAGAGAACAGGTATAATGTGAAACCACTTGTTCCCAACCAAAATATAACACGACTTACAAAACCCAATTCCCCCATCCACAAACTTCCCAACAAAACTAATAACACAATAATGTCAGCTGAAAAAAGATCATTAATAAAGTAAATGAAAATTATTAAAAATAAATAAAGAAAAAACAGCTTCATCAAAACTAAATTATATTTGATGGCTCATCCAGAATAATTTCAAAATGCCAAAATGTTGTGCTGCAGATTTACATGTCATTTCATTACATGCCAAAGTATCAACAAAAGACTGATTATGCTGAATTGCTGAAAAAAGTAGAATGCATGTTGATACACATTTGCCCATGTATGCACATGAAGGGCCTATATATTTTATGTTGCCTAAATAAAGCAATAAGTCTTAATTGTTTTGCCAAAACCTAAATGATACATGCGTACATAATAACTTGAAGTATATTCGTAAGGCAGTAATACTATACAAGTCTTTGTATTGTTAAATAAACTTGTGCACTTGCCCTTTTATATTCTTAAATACTGAGTTCAATTCAATTGCATGTATATATATATATACCAACTATACCATAAATAAACATTTGATACTGTTAAACATAAAGTTCATGCCAAATTGGACCAGTTTGTTTAAACTTAAAAAAAAAAAAATAGAGATCATAAAAAAGCACTTCTTAAAAAATTGGTTTTTAATAGATAGAATTTGCTTCTTAAAAAAGCATAAAACTGTTAATTGTTAAAATAAGAAGTATAGACAAACACACTAAAACAGCAGAAAACTTCTTATTTTATTAAGAAAATATGTTTTTTATAAGAAGAAAAAAAGTTTAAACAAACTGGGCCCATTATCTACCTCTCATCATCACTTTTGACTTCGACATCAGAATCATCCGCATCAACACTTCGTGCAACAATGTGATCTTCAATATCCCTCTTCGATCCTGTCAAGATAAAGATCCATCAATCTACAATATTAAATATGAAATGCAATTATGGAGCCTTTCCTTAACTTCTGTTTTTCCTCCTTGTTAGATGGAAGGCCTAGTGAAAATATATTAGTAAATATATACAAATTGATAAATAGAATACCTTCCAAAAACAGATGGCTACCCTTTCCATGATCCCTGTCATCTGTCAGAGCATAAAATAGAATTGAACAGTTAAGGTTGCAATTAAAAAAAAAACATCTGACAAGAATGATGCAATTCAAATGCATCAAATAGAACTTTAGAGAAACATTACACATTGATAACTTTACCATAAGATTTATTTTTTGATGAGAAATGCCTTCGTTCACGATCTTCCAGTTCATCGCGGAGGTTCCTTCTCTTTAATTCATCTTGTGTGTCCTGTCCTTCCTTCCTGGCAAGGTAGAGCAAAGCAACCATTATTAGCGAGGACAAATACACCTGTATCAGAAAAACTGCATGCTAACATGATATTGTGCAACATTGACCACAAGTGTAGAACAGTATAGCTTCTTAATCATTTAACAAGAGAAAAGTGAGAAGAAAAAAAGGAAAATGAAAATATTTCAATTATATGTCAGGATAAAGATTTACCTTAAGTTTAAGTATGTGGTACAAAGAAACACTGTATAAACACACTACATATTATAGTATATCAGTCATTACCCAATTAGTCCCAGCTGTTAGTACAATTGGCAACTTCTTGTGAAAATCCTCACTTTCACTCCCTATATATGCATCTTTCCATACTCAATTAAATCAATCAATAAGAGCATAAATTATTCCTTGCTCTTATTTTCCTAGTCTCTCAAGCTTAATTTCCAATACAGTATCAAGAGCCTGCTCTTGATCCAGATCCATGACTTCCAACAATCTGCCACCACTTTCTCTTCAATCACCAGCTCCTGTCACCTTCTCTCACGTTATCTCTGAAAAGTTTAATGATCACAACTTCCTTCTATGGAAGCAACAAATCATACCACTATACCAGTCATCCGAGGTCACGGATTACATATCTTAGTCATAAATCTGAATATTCCTACACAATTCTTGAGCAAAGATGATCCTGATAATGGCCAAGTGAATGATGCATATGCTGTATCACTACAATAACTCGAGATTTCTATGCCATGTGATATTGTACGATCATCCACCCATCAACAATATTGGCTCCGAAAACAACTAATAAACAATATTTAACATGGAGAATTTTCCATGATAAACACCACAAGGTTAAAGCCAAGGAAGGGGGATAGTAGGTAAATAAAAGGCAACACTTTTTCTCATCATTGGAGAGACATACTTCTACAAGATTTGAAATTGAAAATTGTGATTTCATTCATTTGCCAGAATGAAAAATCCAGCAACAAACTTATCAAAGGACATAGATAAGATAACCAGTATATGAATTTGAACAAAAATCTCATAGTACAACAGAGTTTCAGAAACTGCACCTTACGAGCTCGGAACCCGTGAAGTTAACATAACCAAGAGAAAATCGAGGCTTAAGTGCTTAACTAACCTAAACTAGAACGACATGACCAAGCACAAGCATAGGCACCAAGGGGCTACATATAAATGAGTGAATTGTGCTACCCCAAAACAATATAGCCTCAAATCAAACTAACCCTGATTAATATAATCACAACAACCCAAGTTCCATTATAAATTTGAACTACGTAATGTTCCATTGGTAAGAAAACCTAAACCTAGCTTGTTTTGGAACTAAATTAAAAAAGGGGAAAAGATTAGGAGAATACCTGGGCTTGAGATTGGTGTGCGATGCGATGTCCCTAGAAGAGTACTTTTGGGAGGGACCGAAAATTCGAGTGCCACCTTGTTCGTTGCCACCTTTAGCAGGAGCCCATGTGGGTCGTGCGGCGGTCGTCATCGGATGTCACGTTTTGGGGATGGAAGAAGGGTTCTGTCACCGTCTTTGTTCGCCGGTAATCGAACAAGGGTTTCGTTTGGGGGTGATGAAAAGAAAGAAGAAAAAGAGAAGGGAATGAATGATTGAGTGCCAAAATAAAATAGCAGAACGTGTGGGCTTTTAACTTAGTGGGCTTATTCACTTTCACACCAACCATTTGTTTAAGGCAGATGATAAATACACCTCCACTCTTGTATAAACACACCCTCTTTTTAAAAGAAAATATATAAAATATCTATATTACCCTTAAAAAAAATAAAATTCTTAAATTTACACCTCCTTTTCTTGCACCTCCGTTCCCCGCACCCCCACACCCCCCTTCCCTTCACTCCAACAAATCGGCGTCGTTTACAGAGGAGAAACCCTCGCAACCATCCCAACCAATACCTCCTATATTCTTCTAACCTAAACTTGCTATGCTATATTTATACCTTGCTTTCTGAACCACACCCTCAAACCAATCACAATCACAAACCATGACTTTCTTTACTTGCTTCTTTTTCTTCCTTCTTGCTTCATCAGCCACTGCTTGTGATCGCTGCCTTCAACAATCCAAGGCTTCCTATTTCTCCAAAGCTTCTGCTCTTTCATGTAATTACCAACATTCATTCGTTCATTACTATCTTCAATTTTCTTATAAAACGATGTAATTAATTTATTGTGTGAATTTGACATGTGAAGCTGGGGCATGTGGGTATGGCTCTTTGGCACTAGGCTTAAGTGGTGGACACCTTGCAGCTGGTGTGGCTTCTCTCTTCAAAGATGGAGCCGGTTGTGGTGCCTGCTTTCAGGTATGTACACAAATCAGGACCACTTCCAATTTCCAAGTTCTAACCAATTTTTTTATTTGTTAGTTATTATTGTCATGAGTCATGACTAATGAACATTTTTTATATATGTGGCAGATACGATGCAAGAATCCAACTGTGTGCAGCAAAGAAGGCACCAGAGTGGTGTTGACTGATCTCAATCACAATAATAAAACTGACTTTGTGCTCAGCAGTAGAGGGTTGCGAGGGTCTCTCCTGCTGGTTGGGATGGTTGCGAGGGTTTTCTCCTGCTGTAAACGACGATTTGTTGGGGGTGCGAGGAAGGGGGTGTGGGGTGTGGGGAACGGGGGTGGAAAAAGAAGTGTAAATTTAAGAGTTTCATTTTTTATAAGGATAATTTAGACATTTTATATATTTTTTTTAAAAAGGGGGTGTGTTTATATGAGAGTGGAGGTGTGTTTATCATCTGCCTTTGTTTAAATCTTTTTGACCATAGACCAAACAAAATTGTTTCAATTTAGAAATATATATATTTCAAAAATTAAAATATGGCTAGGAGAGGAAGTTGGTATGACAACGGAGTGGGTCGAATACGGGTTTTATGATACTCGTCTTCATCTTTGTAATTCAAATTCATCTCCGTAGTCATATTCGTACTTGTAGTCGTATTCATATTCGTCAAAAAAAAATTATAAAAAAAAATTGTAAAATTATTTTTCTATTATAATATAATTATAATTAGATTGTTTTTCAATCTCATATTTTAATCAAGAGATTTCTTAATAATTAAATAACTATAAATATTTCACATTATAATAAATAATCACGCATAATAAAATATTAAAATTCTTTAATACAATTAAATCGGAGATGAGAACGAGAACGGGTACGGGGCGAATAAATATATAACCGTACCTCATTTAATATATCAGATTTTACCCGTACCTAGTCAAATCAGGTATTCCTTGTCAAAATTGGAACAGATTCGGATATTACCCACATATTTATTTATCATCCATGAGAGAAACAGAGTTAAGACCAAATATTTTTTGTACCAAACGTGGAAATTTAGTTATATTGTGTTGAATACATTTTATTAATTCATGAAGGTGGATATTTACATTAAATGCCTTTTTGAGGACAGAATTCAGCAAAAATGGTAATAAATTTATTATATTGTTCCTTTTTATTATATATTATTCCATTTTACGTATAATACAGATGGATATATTTAAGAATGACCTTAGACTGATTGAATAAATTATGAAAATCGTATGACTTTTTTACAGTATTTGAAAGAAGAAAAAAGTATTAAATGGTAATAAATTTATTATATTGTGAGCCTGTTATGAATTGTTTTAAGTATGATTTTTAAATAAATTATTTAAAAGTTAGCAATTTTATTGGACGCCATAATTCATAACTAAAGTACAATATAAAAAAACGAATTAAATATACTTTTGAGTTTTGATTCTAGAATATATCACTATATATATAAATGATTCATATAAAACTTCTATTTTTTTTATATTGGTTATTGTTACTTTATTTTAGTCTTTGTAATATACTTATTATCCCCTTTTGTCCTTGTGAGTATGAATAATCTGCTTTTAGTCTTTATAATTTTTTTAAAGGGACTAACTTAAAATGAAAAAAAATATATATTATAGAGACTAAATGAAAAAATAGATATATTATAAGGATTAAAATATAATTACAGATTACCAAAATAGAAAATAAAACAAATTACAAGGACTGTTTCAAAAAAAATTTACAAGGATAAAAAAAAAGTGTATTACAGGAGAGAAAAAAACACATTTAAACCAAAAAAAAATAGAATAACAATAAGTCAACCTAAATGTATGAATATAATTTAAGGGAGATATAAAAAGAAAATAATAATAAAATTACATTACATAACTTTTTAAAAATAAAATATAGTAAGTGATGTTCCTATTGTCAGGATAGAAGATTTCATTTAATTATATAATAATGAAATAAAAATACAAGTTCCTACTTGGTGATGGTTTCGCTTTAGGTGAAGCTGATGAACATGTGTACATTATTTTTATTTTTTTTTTATGTTTATTATGTGATTATCGATTTATATGCGGATGACATATTTATGTTTGCTACTTGTAATGATATAGTATTTAGGACCAAGTAAGCATGGTTACGGGACCCGCCCTCCTACAGATTTAAATTGTCCCCGCCTCTGCTCTTAATACCTGTTAGAGATAAAATTTAGGTACCCATTTCCGTCTTCGACGGGGTTCGGGTTTCCTCGTCCTCGTCCCTGCTCTTACCTTTTTTTTTATAAATAAATATGAATAAAATTAAAAATAAAAAATAAAAAAGTAAAATAATACAGATTTTTACATATAAATTTTTATAATTATGGTTTATATATATATATATATATAATTTTTTAATTATATTATTAAGCAGAGCCAAGTCGGGGCGGGCGGGTATTAACATCCCTGTCCCTGCTCCCGCTCCTGATTTTATCAATCGGGAAAAATCCAAACCTGAACTTGATAAACACAAGTTTTCCCCGTCCAAATCAGGGTAAGTTCGGGCGGATACCCACGGGAGCAGATTAGATTGTCATGCTTAGAACCAACTCATTTTTTTCATCTAAATTTAATGTCAAGTACATAGGTAAAATAGTGTAATTTGGGGAGATATGATTATAGGAAATGGTAATAGTATAATATCATCCCAAGAGCATTTTTGTTGAGAAATTTCTATAGAAGTTTGGTTATTCTGAATTTAAATCAATGAGTAGTTTTTTGAAAATTTTAAATAAATGAGTATATTTTTTAATGACACGGTGGTTTTAGGTTCAATTATTGTTTATGTTAAAATAATATTTAATTGTGACGTTGTTAGTAGACTAGAACGGGACGTTCCCAAATTGGAACGGGTCGTTCCAAACTACTAAAACAATGGTGATTTAGTAGCCCAGAACGGGTCGTTCCTAAACAGGAACGGACCGTTCCAAACTACTAAAACAATGGTGATTTAGTAGCCCAGAACGGGTCGTTCCTAAACAGGAACGGACCGTTCCAAACTACTAAAACAATGGTGATTTAGTAGCCCAGAACGGGTCGTTCCTAAACAGGAACGGACCGTTCCAAACTACTAAAACAATGGTGATTTAGTAGCCCAGAACGGGTCGTTCCTAAACAGGAACGGACCGTTCCAAACTACTAAAACAATGGTGATTTAGTAGCCCAGAACGGGTCGTTCCTAAACAGGAACGGACCGTTCCAAACTACTAAAACAATGGTGATTTAGTAGCCCAGAACGGGTCGTTCCTAAACAGGAACGGACCGTTCCAAACTACTAAAACAATGGTGATTTAGTAGCCCAGAACGGGTCGTTCCTAAACAGGAACGGACCGTTCCAAACTACTAAATGGGCCTACAAATCCTAGTTGAGAATGGGCCGTTCTAGTTTAAGAACGAGCCATTCTTGGTGTGAGTTTTACATATGTTGAAGGAGTGCAGAACGGGCCGTTCGGATCTGAAACGGTCGTTCTGGCCACTCTAGAATTCTATAAATAGGCCTCATGCATGCAGATGAAGAGAAAGAAGCAGAACTTAGAGAGAGATTTTAAAAGAGAAGGACTCTGGGCTAAGAAACTTAATTTTGAAGGATTGAAGTTCGGGAGACGAGCTTAGAGGAAAGTTTTTCTTATTCCCAAATTCTTGGTTGTTCGGAGTCAATCTTCATGTAAGGGAAGCTAGATTGTAGATTTGTTGGTTGTATGTGAGTTGAGAACTCATTTGGTGCATGAATGTTGAGAAATCAGTGGTTGGATTGATGCACATCTCATTTTTCGGGGTTTTGGAAAAAATGGGGTTTTTGATGATTTTGATGCCTTGAAAAGTTGCATGTTGAATCTGAGATTATTTTTGAGTTGTATGAAGTCTATGCATTTCATTTCATGGATTGCATGTGGTTGAAGTTGCTGATTTTCAGGTTTTGCGTGCTTAGGTTGATTGGTGTTGTTTGGGTGTGTAAGTTGGCATGATAGATGGGTTGTAAACGTGTAGTATGAGTTGTGTTATGTGATAAAAATGTTGTGTGTTGATAATATATGAGTAAATATTTATTACTGATGTTGTTGGTGATGCTTTTGTGATGAAGATGGGATGTAAATGAGATGCATGTTGTAGTTGAGTTGTGAAGTTGCGTAATTGAGTATGGGTGTTAAATGAGTTGTTGTGCTAAATAGAAATGTGTTGAATATGTGTTATGTTGTTAAAGTTGTTATATGTTATGTGTGGACTATTTATATATTGCGAAATATGATGAGACGATCTAGTTGAGAGTTGTGAAGTGCATGATGATAATATGTGAGTTGTGAGAAGCATGATGTGAAGTGTGTAGATGTGTTGAGATTTATATAGAAGTTATTAGTAGACAATGTTGCTAAGTTGTTTGAGGAGAGTTGTATGTTGCTATAAAGTTGTAGGTTGTGCCATGTGTTGAAAAGATATAACTTTATGATGATTGAGTTGTAAATTTTGAGTTGAGCTAATAAGCTGTTGAGTTGACTATGTTGTTTAAAGTTAAAATGAGTTGATAATTGAGATGCTGAGATGAAACCTGTGTTGATTGAGCTGTGATGACGAGTTATTGATCACTAGGACTAGGGGAGATGTTTTTGAAGTTACTCATCCCATTGTGTGGATTGAGAGTGTTGTGGTGCTCTAAGAGCCCAAATTGTTGAAAAACCCTCCTTGGGAAGTTGTCCCTTGGAGTGGACATTGTGTTGTTCCCCTCTAGTACTTAGTTGATCCCGTGTGTGGGTAAGGTCGAAGCACACGTGTATGAAGCGACCACAGTATAGGGGTCAAGTCGAGCTATATATACTGATTACAAGCGGCCAAACTTGAGTAAAGTACGAAGTCGGGAACTTAGTTCCTAACCGAGTATCGGAGGGTTGTAGTATTTGGAGGATAGTCGGTAGGATAATTCCATAGGTGGCTTAGTTGAGCTAGCTAATGTCATGGTAGGCCTAAACCCAGCTGTTCTATCCTAACAGAGTACTATACTTCCTTGTTTAAGTGGCAAAGTCTGAGAAATCTTTATCGTGTTGTGGATTGATATCCAAATTTGTTGTTTACCTAGCAAGCCCAAAAAGGTTCTGTGTTGTCGGTTCGGTAGGACCTAACCACTTAGACTGCTCAACCTCAGTTGTAGGAGATCTCCGAGTTGAAATGCGTGACGACGCATATGTGTTGATGAGTTGATATTGTGATGATATGAGTTGTATGTGTTGAAGTGATGTGAAGGTGTTATTGATATGTGTGTTGTTAAAGTGTTGTGCATTGTATGTTGAACAAGTTGATGATGATGCTAGCATCGCTAGATTACCTGTGTTGTAAGTTGCTTTTAAACATGTGTTGTTGAGAGGTGTGTAATACACGTGTTGGTTGTTGTTATGATGAATATGTTAACTATTCCAATGGTTTGTACAGTAGTTATGTTGAAGTATTGATCAATGTTGATATGTTGAATCAAGTTGAAATGATGTTAAGATGTATAATATATGTGTTGTTTATCTTTTGTGTCAGATGTGAAGATGATTATATAGTTGTTGTGTTGCATATTTAATTAATATGAGTCGTTTATTGTCTTTAGCTTACCCTTGCATGTTTCCATGTAGTTTGGACTGCGATGATCATACGATGTATGGGAGCAGGGCAGGAATAGACTAGGAGCTAGCTGCCAGAGGCCACAGGAGGTGCCTGAAGTTGGATTTTTTTTGTAGGCTACCTTATAGTAGCATATTTTGTTGTATATAGCTGATTTTCGTTGGTTGCTTGATTAACAACTTGTGTATTAAATATTTTATTATACTATTTTAGTATATATATTCCAGTAGTGTGTAGTGTTGTTCTGTAGTGTGACAGTCATGACGGGTCGTTACATTAACGAACCAAAATTATGTTCTATAAATGTAAATTAATTTTTGGTTGTTAACTAGAAATACTATGTAGATCATGATTATAAACATAAAAAACAATGAATAATTTTTATGATGTTAACTTTCAATCGAAGATAAATATAAGATTAAATTAATTGATTTCAATATGTCTAAGTTATTGTATAAAATGTTTAGAGTTCTAATAACAACCATCCAGACATACTTATTAAACTCATTAGGCATCGAAGATGAAACATAAATTATGTTATTGAATATAACAATATTTTGTTGTTATTTTAGAATGATACAATGATGCTAATTAGATCTCCAATTTAGACAAGACAAAAATTATTAGTAGTAATAATTTTACATTTTATTGGCTTGACGTGACTGAATTTGTTTGTTTGGCTATATCAAATTAGTTTGATCTTTTATAGGCCTAAAAATAAAATAAATAAGTTCAATTTGACTTAATCTAATTAGTAAATGAGTTAGTTCATCAAGTTGAGTCAATTCTATCATATCAGATAATAAATATCATAAATTTAAATATATTGTTCAAATTTAATAAAATGTTAATGTAAGCAAGACTATGTATAAAGAAATGTTACTTATGATGACTTGAAGTTGGAATCAATTATTTATCAACATATTGAAAAAAAATTGTATTGATTTTTTTTAAACCTTATCATTTATTTTATTTTTACTAATTGTATTATTTTAAAAAATTCATAAATTCATATTATTGTCTTTTGAAATATCATAAATTTTTTTTACCAATCTTTAAAATTCTTATGTTAAAATTTATATTACAAAATATTAATTATAATTTTTTTTTTAAATCTTAAAAGTCGTAACATTCTTATAAAATCTTTTAAAATCTATATAAAAAAAATTTCATGTTAAAATAATATTATAAAATTTCAATCCTACACACTTCCCTTAATATATTTTTTGTTTTTATTTTTATTTTTATTAATCATTTTAAGAATTTTTTAAAATCAAATTTGAGCTTATCCCAAAACCATATTTTTACTACTATACAAATAAATTTTTCTTTATTTTTTATTTGAAAATTTTAACTTTGAAAAAGAAACATTTTAGAATAACCCTCATTTTCAAACCCTTTTCTTTCTTAATTTTTTTTTACAAGATCTTAGATTTCAAATCATTAAAGATCGTCACTTCAGCTAGCCTGACCATTATCAAAAAGAAATTGTTAAAATCTAATGGCTAGCATATCACATATGTAAGTGTACTATCCGTACTGCCATGCCGAGCTCGAGCTCGGTATCACAGCGTGGAATAACCTCGGGCACGCACTGGGAGATCTCGGCCTAAGCGAGATCCGCAATCTAATCAGATCATAACTGATCTCGGAGATCTCGCTCCAGATGAGATCCGCAATCTAATCAGATCATAACTGATCTCGGAGATCTCGCTCAAGATGAGATCCGCAATCTAATCAGATCATAACTGATCTCGGGGATCTCGCTCCAGACGAGATCTACTATCTAATCAGATCATAACAGATCTCAGGCCCAAGGCCCAACACAACCCTAATTCACACAAAGGTACGTGCATTATTTATACGAGACTCATACTCCCACAAACACTAACTTTAGCATCGGAGTCTCTTTTGCAGGTACCACCCCCATCTTGGAGCACCAGCGTACCCGTGAAGGAGGCTCACCGATCTTACCTGGCAGATCAGCTCTACAGCAGATTTCCGGTAAGAACATTTGGCGCCCACCGTGGGGCCGATCAAGACAGCTCTTATCGGCCACCTGTATGGTTTTCACCAGAAGCACAGCAGACGCGCAACAGACGACCTGGATCACTCAACTACCATGGATAGTGACGCAGCAACGTTGAGGAGGCTGATCGACTAGGTCGAACAGATGCGGCAACAACACGCCGCCGACCTACAAAGCATGCGTGCCAAGCACGAAACTGATCTAGCGGCAATGCGCACCGCTAATGAAGCCAACCTAGCGGCACTACAAGCCGAGAACGAGTGCGTTCGTGCCCAACTCCCTCGGCGTCCCTCAGATCAACCCCCTCTGCAGAGTAACCTGAATGAGGACGAAGGGCATTCACTTTCTAAACCCCGAACTGCGACCAGAGCACCGACTCCACGACCTGCCACGCATCGGCCTCATGCACCGATGCACAAGTCGACTCAGGATCTCAGCAGGGCCCCCACTCATGTCACAGAGGGTCAAGAAACTTTTCGCCGTCATCCTTTTGTGGATGACATCATGGAGACTCCACTCCCTCGCAGATGGAAGCCTCTCCACCTTGATCGCGATGGCACGACGGACCCCGATGAACATATTGACCTGTATACGACCCAGACGATTCACGGCGCAGTATGCAACGAGCCGACGTCACCTCGTAACGTCGGCTGCTCTGGCCAGCCTCAGACAGGGCGACGACGAACCACTACGGACGTTCATGGAACGTTTTGCTGGCATCTCAATGAAGATTCGCAACTTGAATCCCGAGGTCGCTCTACACGCCATGCTCATGGCGCTCAAGCCGGGACCTTTTGTGGACACCTGTGTCGTCGAGCTCCTAAGCGCAGATGAAATCCTCAGGAGTCTTCTTTCCACAGACGTTGAGTAACAAGTTCAACTTGACGGGCACATCGAGGTTGATGCCTAACACATTAGCTTTGAGAGCGGTGCAAAGGCACACTGCAGCTTCAAGATCAACAAGACCCTGAATGAGAGAGCAGCATGGGGTTTTTGGTGGCTCCCCAAGTTTCACGTCCACCAAACCTAACAGACTAGCACACACACCAAACTTAAGGGTGTCTTCGGGACAAGTACCATGGTTTGTGGAAGGTGTGGAGCTAACCAAAGTGAAGAAGAGAATGTTAAGGGACAAAAGAGTTTGGTGTGTGTGCTAGTCTGTTAGGTTTGGTGGACGTGAAACTTGGGGAGCCACCAAAAACCCCATGCTGCTCTCTCATTCAGGGTCTTGTTGATCTTGAAGCTGCAGTGTGCCTTTGCACCGCTCTCAAAGCTAATGTGTTAGGCATCAACCTCGATGTGCCCGTCAAGTTGAACTTGTTACTCAACGTCTGTGGAAAGAAGACTCCTGAGGATTTCATCTGCGCTTAATTCTGCACTTCGTATAACTATTTTATGATGTCGTAATAAGGTCGTTCTATATTTTTCTATATTCGTTATTCATCATTAATCTGTGTACTTTTTTTGTATGTATTTTGTCTGGCGCGTGTGATTTAGCCAACGAATGAACATTTCGTTCGTACTTGGTTATTGTCATTAATTGTTGTGATGGTTGAAACTTGAAAAGGCTCCTTGCTCTTCCTTTTCGGCCTCACTATAGTCCTTTGTATTATTCTAAGTGAAATTTTTAAGAATAAAAATTTTATATTTAGTGTATTTGAATGAGGTATTTTAGAAATTATAAAGAATTTCAAATTCTTAGAATTTAAATTACTCTTAATTGAATTCTTTCTTTTTTAAATATTTTATTTGAATAAAATACTTTTTAATATCTTGTATTTCAATTATCTTATTTGGTTAGAGCATTTTAATTTTTACTAAGTAAAATTTTATTTTTAAATATTTATTCAAAAAATTAAAGTTTTAATATTAAATTTTATTAAAATGTATGTAATAATTGGAAATTAATTTTAATATCATAGAATTTCAAAAAATTAAAAAATAATACTAGACATTGTAATTAATTTTTTCTTTATAAATTTATAAAATATTTTAAATTCACGACTTATTTAAAAACTTCAAAACACCATTAACATCGACAAAATGATTAATACATTGATTTATGGTATGAAGTTATTGCATTTTAAATTGAGAAAAAAAAATAATAGGAATCTTAAATTTTCATTATAGATGATTCAAAATCACAATATTTTGTATGATTCAAAATAAACACTAATAAAATCTTAATGTATGTATGTCCATATCAAGATAACAAAAATAAAATATAGTTTCTCAAAGATATCAAAATCATGGTTTCGAGACCAAAGATTTCAACCTCCTCATAGATGCAAAGCCTACAAAAAAAAATGCAAATAACAGTTATAATTAGATCAAAGATCAAAACTCAAGTACAAGCCTTTTTGTTATCACACTTCAAAATTTACACATGTATATAAGATGTGATAAATTATAATAAATGTCTAGTAAAGTAATTCTAGAACTATAGCTATCTCAGACAAGGTATTAATCCAAAAAAAACATGCAATAGAATAAAGAGAAGAAGAAAAAAACAGAAGCTATATAGGAAAATCTAAATGAGGTCTTAGAATGATAAAGTTGTCATTACATTATATTATCCATGAATAATAACTAAAAAGACAAAATAGGTTGTCAGCATAAGACTTACTATAAAAATGAGAAATTTGTCAAAAATATTATCCATGAACAATAATTGTGTGAACTAGTTATAAAATTTATGAAGTAACTAACTTAATAGTAACATCAAAGTATTGTAGGAATACATAAAAGCTCCAAACCTAAAACATACAAAATACATGAAAAGTTTGAAAGTTAACTTGCAACAATCAATCAAATTAATTAAAATTAAGAAGTTATGAAAAAAAAATTACATAAAGAAATATGTGTTAAAACTGAGATCTGCAATCTAATCAGATCATAACTGATCTCGGAGATCTCACTCAAGATGAGATCCGCAATCTAATCAGATCATAACTGATCTCGGGGATCTCGCTCCAGACGAGATCTACTATCTAATCAGATCATAACAGATCTCAGGCCCAAGGCCCAACACAACCCTAATTCACACAAAGGTACGTGCATTATTTATACGAGACTCATACTCCCACAAACACTAACTTTAACATCGGAGTCTCTTTTGCAGGTACCACCCCCATCTTGGAACACCAGCGTACCCGTGAAGGATGCTCACCGATCTTACCTGACGAATTACCTCTACGGCAGATTTCCGGTAAGAACAGTAAGTTATTAAGGTTAGTGCCAATCTCACGCATCTCAAGCTTTGTATTGTCGTACAAACTCAGTGGTTTGTGATTTTTGCATACAACACCGGTTGGAGATTTATATTCTAATAATTATTATGCAAGAATATTATAAAATAATTGTGTTAGCTATTTATCGTAAGGAAATTTTATTGTATATGATCAAATTAAGTATCAAGTCATGAGTTTATTAATCTACTAAATTAAGTAGATGTTAGTGTAAACACATTAGAAAATAATGAGTAGAAAACTAAAGTTTTCTTCTTCCCTTCTAACTAAAAAGATTTTGTTGCCATAAATTTTCTTTAGGTCATAATCACAATTAATTGTCGTTCATAATCGACCATGTTGTAGACATATGAACCTTGGCTTCCATATTTAGTAAGTTGAAATTTAACTCAATTTTATAAAATTAATTTATGAGTATTTTTTTCTTATTTATATATTTTTTATTTGTTTTATTTTTAAGAAAGTTTATATTTTTTTTTTGTATTAACAAAATTGAAAATCAAAGAATTTGCTTTGTAATATTTTATTATGAAATCTGCCACCATCAACGATTGTAACATTCAAAGGTTGATTGTTGATGCAATATTGGAAGGAGCTTGTACAAGGAAGATGGTAAATTTGGGATTACATGGTTGATGAAGGAGACCTTCGTTGTAGGTGAAAATACAAATTTATAGATACTATACATAGATCAAAGTCTGATGGCAAGTCTTACAAGTAAAAAAGGAAAAAGAAAAAAGATAATAGAAAGAAAAAAAAAAAAAGATGAAAATTGTTGAATCCCAATTCATGTTTGGAATCTTAGCTAATTAAAATGATTTAAGGACATTAACAGAGAAGAAAAGAAGAAGGATGAAGTAATTGAAAAGCACTAACATTAATAGTGAGTGGTAATTTAGAGCGAAAGCATGGAAAGGTCGTGGAGACTGTGTACGATTTGGGAGTTATCCGCGGAGGATGCAGGTGCAGGTGCGGGTGCTGCGGGTGTGAGTGTTCTCCAAATTAACCTGAGAGCCCGTTCCATTCGTGCGAGGTGGGCTTCGCTGCTGAAGGCTATCTGGCCCAATTGGAAAAGGAAGAGCCTGGATTGGTGAAGCGCGTCGTCTCGGAAGATCCGGAAGCCCATCAGCAACTTGAGGAGAAGTGGGCATGCCAGCCCAATCGCGGCGGGTCTCAAGTGGAGCTTGGCCAGAGCCACCATATGCAGCCCCATCATCATCATCCACAACAACTCTGTAAATTAGGTTTCAGTCACAATAATTGCCATCAAGTCTTCAAATCCATCACGGATCCTGCAAATACCACCAATGAAGGGTCAGACTGCTTCTAATATATTATGTTCTACGGTTCTGATTTTGCTTTTCCACTCCACTGCGACCTAATATTATATTTTGTTATTTTGGTCGAAACTTTAAAGGACCAACTTGAAATATATGCTTACTTAATTCTCAGTCTAGGATAGACATCTTTCCTTTAATTAAATAAAGAAAAATAAATGATATCGATGTTTGTTAATACTGATGTCATTTTGGTTGTTGTTGGTTTTCAATATTTTTTTTTTCAATTTTAAATCTCAAACTTAATTAAAAAAATAAAACTTAAATATGTTTTTAGTCCTTCAAATTTAATATAAATTTATTTTCGTTCCCTCAAATTTGAAATTATTGTTTTTAGTCTTTGAAATTTTTAAAAATCTTGTTTTAGTCTCGTAGATCATCAATAATATATCTGAAAGTGACAAATTAAGATAGTTAAATAATATCAATTGAATTTAATGTGATGTTTTCACTAATAAGAACATTAGTAGGTAGATTTTATACAATAATATTTGATAAATTTCTTAACAAAATTTGAATATAAGGATTAAAATAAGATTTTTTGAAACTCTAGGAACTAAAAACAATAATTTTAAATTTAAGGACCAAAAATAAATTTACACTAAATTTAAGAGATTAAAAATATATTTAAACTAAAAAATAATCATGAAAAGAATAAATTTAGTGTTAGTTAAAGTCTCAAAGAAAAATAATTTTCAAAGAAGTCCCAAATTTATATCACTGTTATATTTGATTTCATAAATTACACTAAAATTTTGAAATTAAAAATTAGAGTATAACAAATGTGCTATAAAATAGGGTGTCATAGTTTATTTTGACTCTTCTCGACCCCAAAGGTCAAGTTATAAGGGAGAAATTATATGATTGCTCTTAGGCCATTTAATGTACCCACCAACAAATTTATGCCTGGGTTTAGTAAGTCCATCTTAGCACTTCTTTTCAATCTTTATTGATTATTCTCGTACATTATATTATCGATAACATATATAAAAATATAGTTTGATTTAATATAAATAATTTTATTTTAAAACTTTAAAATAATAAAAAATAATATTAAAAATTAATCATTTTATAAATATAATATTCAAATTCAAGATTTTGAAATTTGAGAATTACATACAACATTAATTGATTTAATAAATATTAATAATTTTAAAATATTTTTATTAAATAAAATATAAAAAGACAAAATATACCGATTCTAATTGTAATTATAATGTGAATGGTACCAAAACCAGTAATATCCCAGCAACAGAAAAGCTCCTCATATGATTTGATCCCAAGCCTAAAAGAAGTATGTAAAACGTGTCTACCTAATTGGCCCAAGATATATAAGAGGGGGCTTTTTTTCGTACATTTTCATCATATCAGATTAAGGGTGTGTTTAGTTTATAGTTTTCAATATTATTTTTTATTATTTAAAATTTAAGAGTAAAATAGTCTAAAAATTATATACACGAGATCAAGTATGTCCTTTATAATAAGTATAGATAATGAAGATGGAGTGTTTTGTATATAGAATTTTTTACTTCCTTATAAATCTTAAATCAAGAATCTTGATTTTTTGTGTTTGGTAATTATATAAAAAAAAATTCAAGAATATTATATTTAGTTAGTTTTTAACATTATTTTTTATTATTGAAAAATTTAAAGGTGAATAAGTCCAAAAATTGTGTACACAAAATCAAGTATCCCCTTTATAAAAGACTAGAGGGGCCGAGGCACTTCGTGCTTCTAATAATTATACATAGATAAATATTAGAAATTTTAGAAGATATAAGATTTTTTTTTACATTCAAGATATAATAGTAATAAGTAATGTAAAATTATTTACACGATTGTATTATTTATCTAATGGGGCCGAGGCACTTCGTATTGGAGAATTCATGCAAAGAGGATATGTTTATACGAATCGAAAGGAACAAAAATAGTTTGTGCATATTTGTTCCTCCATTCTTTTCTATTAGATATGTTTTCTTGTAAAATTATTTATACGATTGTATTATTTATCTAGTAGGAAAAAGGCACTACGTGCCTGTATTGTACTAAAAGAAAAAATAAAAATGAAAAATGAAAAATTACTCATAAAAAGATAATTATTAAAAAATAAGTAAAGGATAAAATGGTCCATATAAAAATGAAAACCAAAAATAGTTATTGACAATGATATCTCCTTTATATATTAGTGTATATTTATTAGTTTAAAGTTATTAAATTTGATTAAAAATATTTTTTTTCTAATTTTTTAAAATAAAAGGGTATAATAGTAAAAAAAAAGTGGAGATCAAGGTAGTTACCGAAAAGGGTATCTCCTTTATACCCTTTATATATTAGTATAGATTAGTATAGATTCATTAGTTTAAAGTTTTTTAAATTTGATTAGAAATATTTTTCTAATTTTTTAAAATAAAAGGGTATAATGGTCCAAAAAGTGGAGACCAAGGTAGTTACCAAAAAAGTTTTCTCCTTTATATATTAGTATAGATATAGATAATGAAGAGGAAATATTTCATAAACAGAATGTTTTTACTTCCTTGAAAATCTTAAATAAAAAATCTTGATTTTTCATGTTTGGTAGTTATTTAAATTTTTGTTTAGGAATATATCTTCGCGATAATCATTTTTATTTCATTTTTTCAAAAATATTCTCATGAAGAAGTGAAAATCCAATTTTTCTAAGTAAGGGAAAAGTTGACGGTATTCCTTTTCAAACACAAAATCTCTCTAATCTTCTATTTCTCTATCTCTCTCTAACTCACACTCCCCTTTTATTTTTAGTTCTCTTTTTTCCTCTCCTCTCTCTCCCTCTCCCTCACCCTCTCTCTCCCACTCATATATCTATTTCTCTCTCCCTTTCTTATATTTTATTATTTATTAACCTTATTAAATTTAATAATATTATTAAAATTTGTTTTATTTTTATAGTTTAATGGTATTTACTAACATTTTTTTTATTTGTATGAATAAAATAATATATTTTTATCATTCTTAATTATTATATAATATTTTTCTTTCTTTATTTTTTTTATTGAATTTTGTATTTAAATAATTTTGACTATAAATTTTTAACTTTTTAAAATAGTTTAATGTTATATTTGTAATAAGATTTGAGTAAATAAACATATCTAATGAGTTTATTTTAGTAAAGGATATTTTTGTAAAAAAATGTTTATATACCAAAAAATATATTATTATAACCAATTATGAAATCTTTAATTTCTAAAAATCTTATATGAATATTTATAGGAACATTTATGAGTAACCAAACATATTTAAACTATTTTCAAGAATCATGATTCTCAGTATTTGTAATTCCTAAAAGTCATCTTGATATGAAAAAACATTTTCCCTATTGAACACTCCCTAAGAATAAATATACATAAATTCATTTTACTCAATGACTAATGTTCTACATCAAATTTTAATGATTAAATCATTAAATTAAAAATTCTTAATGCATAGATCAAGTCTATAATTTTTTAAAAGATTTAAAAATTATTTAATACTTTATTTCATTAATTCAAAATAACATATAAAATGATTTTATGATTATTCACTAATTTGAATTGATGAAACAAAATACTAAATAGCTTTCAAATTGTTTAAAAATTTATAGATTCGATTTATACATTAAATACTTTTAATTTAACGATTAGATCGTTAACATTTGATATAAAACATGAGTTATTGAATGAAACAAGTATAAGTAGACCTAGGTAAATTCCTCCTCATTAATAATAATATATTAGAAATTCAAATATATTTAAAAATAAAAAATAAATAATATTCATATTATATTATAAAATTTGTATCTATTTTAGTAATTATATATTTAAAATTACTTTTAATTATTATTATCCAACAAGTTTTTATTTTGGTGAAACTACTTTTAGTTTAAAAATACCCAAACATAAATTAACTTAAGTAAAACTCACTTTTAATTGAACTTAAATTTAGAAAATTAAATTTAACTCAATTTTTTTCCAAAATATAATCTAAACACACAATAACACTCAAAGTTGATGTTCCTTTTTCGTTAAAACAAGAAGAATACTCGTGAAAATATATAGAAGTTTGAGTATAATTTTGATATGTTATATAAATTTTTTTACACGATTAGATAATTAAAAAAAAAACACTCTAATGATGAATTTTAAAATAATTGTTACAGAAGACAATAACTTCCAATTCATGTCAATCCATGATCAACTAATTATGCAAAAATTCTTTGCATTATCAATATATGTTAATTAAATTCTAGAGATTTTACTTTTATTGAAAAACAGTGCATTTTACACAAGAAATTAGCTGCATGTTAACGTATCAAAACCTAAAGCCATTCTATTTTTTTCATTTAATAATCTGTGTACATGTAACTAAATTTTGGGATTTAGTGGATACCTTTGAAAATATTGCCTATTTGCGTTTCTACCGATTTCCCAAATTTGAATTTTCATTCAAAATTGCAGTGAACTATGAATTTATGATCGTATCATTACTCTGTAAGTAAAATTTTACGAGTTGTTTTCAGCATTCTTCACCATTATTCCCCCTTGCATTACAAAAGGACAACTGGCGTTGAATGAGATTACCGGTCTGTCCTCATAATTAGAACCTATTAACAGGAAACAAGAAATGCAGATACATAATTAAATATTTGTATTTGCTATCATTGATGTATCATAGAGATTAGGAATAATTATAGACTTGATATTATGCCTATATACCAGAATTAAATTATATATATATATACTTTGTAACCTTCCTTCTGATATACACAATAAAACAGATTCCTTCCCAATTTATTTAGAGCACCTCCAGTGGGGAGTGGGGGGTACTTGTTGTGTGTCTTACTTGTAAGCAACGGTGCTTACAAGAAATTCCCGTTGGAGTAAACAGATTCCTTCCCAATTTATACCTTTTCAGAACCAACCCTACGTGAACTGAGTTTCATAAAATCCCAACAGATCTAAGTATAGCAACAACCACGTACAGTATCAGCATTTCTCTTATGATATAAAAGTCAGTGAGCACGGAAGAGAACAGAATAAACCATGGACGCAAGTGATAAAC